TTTATAAAAAGATAACGATGGTTTTAATAAAAATAATGGACGTATAGAATGTGATTATAAATTATAACATCGCTTTTTATGAATTTAAATTTTTTTATAAATAAAAATTATGAGAAAATTTTTAGTATTGAAGTTGATTTAGGTTGTCGCCATCCCTCGAAATAGGAAAAGAAAACATTGCCAGATTAGCCACAACAACAAACATTGTATGTTTATGATATTGTGGGAATGCGTTGTTGGCAGTTTTGGTTAGAAAAAACTAAGATAATTCTCTCTTTTTCTCACCCACTCCATTATCATCGTTCTCGTTCACCCTTTTAATGTGACCAATCTTTATATTATCTTAAACACTAGATTTTTCAAATTCAATCTGATCGAAAAGTAAAACTAAAAATAATTCTCCACGTCAATTTATTTTTATTTATTTGAAAATTATCATAGACAAATTCTGACAAAATTATGCGAATTCAATAGTTATCTAAATTTATTTGAAAAGGTTTATACTCTTTTGGATGTGAGGTAAGAGATCACAGTCAAAATACTTTTATACATTTTTTTAAGTCGCGTTTTGGATTTATGTTATAAAGTTTTGTTCTTTTAAAGTTGTTAAAGTACTCCAACGTTTAATCAATTATATGATTGATCTATTATTACAATAAAATATTAAATTTACAATAAATATAACATAGTTTTCATTACACAGTTTTTTGATTTTTTAGGATACTTAATGTTTAAGTCAGTAGTTATATATTGAGAGTAAAATCTTAAATTCATGACAAATCATCTATCTCTTCATCTTATACTCATATTTATAAATTTTCAGATGAAATTGTAATTAACATAGTTGTAATTATTATCCTATCTAATAAATACATTTTGTTTGTAAACTTGATTATGGGTGGTACTTCATGTTTTTAAGAAGTCATCCTAAAATTTTGGCCAAACAATTGTCATAATAAATTAGTCCTAGGGGACTCATTTCATAACCGATCAGATCACCATAATATATTTATGAATTCAAGAGAATAATATCTCTGAGGTCATCAAGAACCATATGATGATGTCCTTTGTTTTACTTTAAAAAATTGTAAATATTAATAAAAAGATGTTGTGATTAGAGTAGCAAAATGTTTACCAAACAAGAAAAGTATTGTGTAACTTAATGACATACTTGCATGGAATTTCAGAATAAATTTCTCCACAAAGTTTAGCACTACATTATTACTGTTTTTTTAACTAATGGATCTCTACTTATAATGTATTAAAATTTTACAATTTGAAGAGTTGCATTGTATGATATTTGTTAAGTTAATAAAGACATTATTGTCTAAACAGATAGATTTTCTTTTGTATAAAATTGATTCTTTGCATAATGACTTTGCAATTTGAAAAACGAATCTACAAACAATCCCGTACTTTTGTATTTCAAGCATCTTTTATAAACAATTTTTCAATATTCAACAAATAAAGAAGAAACACGCACAGCCATTGATCCCTTAATTCCTTTCTCTTGAGAGCGTTAACGTATCAGCAATATTTATCTGTATCTATGTCCATATATGGTTATGTAAAATGTTTTATATCAATAAACAAAAACACAAAACGAAGAAGAATGAACTTTCTAACTGGGCCTTATTTTTCCGCCAAAAATAACAGCCCTTCGAAAAAAAAAAAAGAAGTCCACTTCGGGCCCAATTCTCTTTCTTCTTTCCTATGATCGGTTGCGGCTCTATTTCCGCCTGAAAACCCAAAATCAAAAGCTCTCGCCGCCTTCAAAGTTTCTCCTTGCGTGCACAGTGCGTGAGAAATGAAAATGCGTGGCGGCGGCGGCGAAGTGGAAGTGAAAAGGGTGTTTATTGGAGCGGGATGCAACAGAATAGTGAACAACGTTTCATGGGGTGCTTCCGGTTTCGTCTCTTTTGGAGCTCACAACGCCGTTGCTATTTTCTGCCCCAAGGTCCTCTTTCCACCCTCTTCTGCTTGTATTATCAACCATTATCCTAGATTTTATTTTCCTTTAGTTTTATTCATCCTTTTGGTTTTCGCAGAGTGCTCAAATTGTGACTACTCTTCCGGGTCACAAGGCAGTTGTGAATTGCACCCACTGGCTCCCAACTTCCAAGTTTCTATTTAAAGGTGCTCGCTTTCTCAATCTCCCGTCAACTTGAACTCTGCAAGCTCAATTTTTTTTTTAATAAAACTATTTGGCATAACCATATAGTGAGTTGTTCTGAAATTACTGGACCAGTTTCAATGTTTAAATTTTTTTAATCAATGTTTAATATCCTTTTTCCCTTTGAAGTGCAGCAAAACAATTGGAGAAGCATTATTTGCTTTCTGGGGATGCAGACGGTGCTATTATTTTGTGGGAACTGTCCCTTGTTGATGGCAAGGTATGTATTCTCTGGTTGTTGTTTTTTCTTCCTCAAATTTTTACGAATAAATTATGAGAGAATTTTGTTTGTTGGGAACTTAGATGGAATTATAAATTATTGTTTCTCGCGTATTTGTGTTTGAATTGTTTTTAGTGGAGGCAAGTGTTTCAGCTGCCACAATTGCACAAGAAAGGTGTTACATGCATTAGTGGAATGATGGTTTCTCAAACTGAGGCAATGTTTGCATCTACTTCTTCAGATTGCACCGTTTGTGTATGGGAACTTGTATTTCCAGTGACTGGCAGCGGTAAGCCGTAGTTCTCAATGATAATGGCCCTGTTCAGTACAATGTTAGTAATTTGATAATGTACATTAGTTGAGACTTGCTTCATCATTTTAGGTGACTGTAAGTTGTCGTGCCTGGACTCTTTCTCGATTGGATCTAAATCTATGGTAGCCCTATCATTAGCTGAATTGCCTGGAGATTCTGGGAATATTGTCCTTGCAATGGGAGGATTGGATAACAAAGTTCATCTTTATTGTGGTGGAAGGACAGGAAAGGTATCTGCATCCTCATAGTTGTAGATTATTAACATGAAATTTTGGTATCTTTTAGTGTTTTATGTTGGTTTATGTTTAAAATATTTAACTCTTCTTTTACTCATGAACCCAGCTTGTACATGCATGTGAGCTAAAAGGGCATACAGATTGGATCCGGAGTTTGGACTTCTCATTGCCTATAAATGTGAATGGGGAAGCAAACAATATTTTTCTGGTTAGTTCATCTCAGGATAAAGGCATACGAATTTGGAAGATGGCATTACGCAGCTCTATGTTGAATGGAAATGGCATATGCAAGAAAGGGGAAATAAGCTTATCATCCTATATAGAAGGTCCTGTACTTTTGGCTGGTTCATCTTCTTTTCAGATATCCTTAGAAACTCTTTTAATTGGACATGAGGATTGGGTATATTCAGTAATGTGGCAACCCCCTTTGGTTTCATCCCTAGAAGGGGGTACCTATTATCAACCACAAAGTATCTTATCTGCATCCATGGACAAGACTATGATGATCTGGCAACCTGAAAAGACTTCTGGTGTCTGGATGAATGTTGTCACTGTTGGGGAACTAAGCCACTGTGCTCTGGGTTTCTATGGTGGCCATTGGAGCCCAAATGGAGATTCAATTTTAGCACATGGATATGGTGGATCTTTCCATCTTTGGAAAAATGTTGGTAATGATAATTGGCTGCCACAAAAGGTTCCCTCTGGTCATTTTGCACCAGTTACTGATATTTCCTGGGCTAGATCCGGTGATTATATTATATCTGCCAGTCACGATCAGGTATTTAAAACACGTTTGGTTGGCAAAAGTTATAAATTATCGATCACACCTATTAATTTATCTCTTATGATTGTGAACTTGCTGTTTAGAATTTATAAATGGCTTGACCCTGTTGTCTAATTAGTGTAAGAACATAATTTTGTGCTTTAGAAGAAAAACAAAATATTAAAATTCAAGATGCTCGTGCAACTGTTTTAGTTTCCTCAGCTTGATGCTCAAATAATAACTGAATATTTTTATCGAATTTGAATTGGCTCTGAAACTGCTGCTACATGAAAAATTGCAGACAACTAGAATTTTTGCTCCATGGAAAGTTGAGGCTTCTCTTCAACATGGAGAATTTTGGCATGAAATATCTCGTCCTCAAGTTCATGGTCATGATATAAATTGTATGGCGGTTATTCATGGGAAGGGGAATCATCGTTTTGTCAGTGGAGCTGATGAAAAAGTTGCCAGAGTATTTGAAGCCCCGTTATCATTTCTTAAGACATTAAATAATGCCACTCTGCAGAAGTCTTGTTCTTCTGATGATATCTTAGGAAATGTTCAGATTTTGGGTGCAAATATGTCAGCTCTTGGACTATCACAGAAACCTATTTATGTTCAAGGTCAGTTATTTTGTTGAAAGTTAAAATTGATGGGGATGTGAAGCATGTCAGGGAATTTTTAGGCCGTTTTCGAAAATGTTGGGGTTTTCTTTCTTGTGGTAATCTTTGGTGTTGATTTTTCTAGTTATTACACGTGGTTGTAATTACACGGATGGATGTAGTTACTGGTTGAGACTAAAAATGAATGCTTTTAGGTAAGGGAAAAAAAATATAACCATGTAGTTTATCAATCTTAATAATCAGGTAAAATGTGCACCCAACCTAAGCTACTCATAATTCAATGTAATTTACTGGTTAACTTTTTCAATATTTACATGCATTTAAATACTAGACTCAAACCTTGTATTTACTGCTTGAAATGGGCAGTGGTATGTGTAGAAGTCTCATAATAACTCAATTGACTCATCTGTTTCTGTTTAATCTGTTGAACATATAAGCTCTCGGGAAATAGACTTCTAAATTCTCCCTTGTGGCAATGATGTGAACTTTTTAATCAGTACTATATAGCTGTTTAATTTAGAAATGTCAATTTTAGATCATTATTCTCTCATAGTAATCAATAGTGCACTATAGCATGAAATTGATGCTGAGGAGTCCTTGGCCACAATGATATTATAATAGAGGAACTGTTTTCAATAGTGAGAAAAAATAGCAGATTTTTGTGAGCTAACAGTATAGCAGCGCTACCATGATGCATGCTTCAGAAAATTCAGTTTTACCCGTGAAACATCATAGTTTGGGTAAAGTATCCCGCAAAATTTTGCCTCTCTTGATATTGTGCTTCATACTCTATAGGACTATTTTTTTTTTATTGTGTTCTGTTTCTTCTTCCTCATTTAGCCCTCCGCAAAAGATTATCTTGCTATCTTCTATTTTTTTTTAAAGAAAACGTGTTTTTAGTTCTGTACTGTTGATTGAACTTGTTTTTAAGTCCTTGTATTTTCAAATTTATGAAATCAGTCTTCCAACTTTTAAAAGTGTGATTTTTCATCCCTCTAATTTGATTTTGTCTCCAAAGGAGTTGGTGGGGAAGGATGAAAGTATAGGGACCAAGGTTACATTTCTCTCTCTGTTTTATCTTATTATTTATGTTCCTTTCTATCAAGTATCATCTTTGATTTTGACTTTTTTACTATGTTTGCTCTTAGATTGATAGTGATTGTCAGCGTGTGATTTATTTTTATTGTGAATATTTTGAGTGGGTTATTTGAGTTTTATATGTGCAGTTATAAATTTCTTTTCGTATTATAGTATTTAAAATAATGGTGATCCTGCTATAGCATTTTTAGAGTTAGTCACAAGTTCACAACAGACCTCTAGTTGAGATTGATGACTATTTTGTGCTTGTTTGTTAACGCACTGGTCACTTGTCTTGAGTAGACTATGATTTCTCAGATAAAAAAACGTTACAATTTTACTGAACCTGCTGTCAAGATATAAGCTGATTGAGATAACTGGTCACTCAGGGATTTTAACTGGTATATTTGGTGTAAATCTGCTTTATTAGAGTTAGGAAGATACTGTGTGCTACTTTTCAAACAATTATCATTTTTCCTTGCATGTCGAACTGTTGGTCTTTTGAAAGTTTATCATTTTTAGAGTATTTCTACATTGCAGCTTTCCATGAGATTCCCGAGAGAAGAGGCATCGATGGTATTGACACCCTTGAAACTATTCCGGACGCTGTTCCAACTGTTTTCACCGAACCTCCAATTGAAGATCAACTGGCTTGGCATACACTTTGGCCTGAATCACATAAACTCTATGGGCATGGAAATGAACTATTTTCCTTATGCTGCGATCATAGGGGTGAGCTAGTTGCTTCTTCGTGTAAGGTATGTAGTGTTATTCATCTAGCTATGAACCTGTATTATTACTACCATTAGACAGAAGATCTAATGCCTACTTATATTGAAATCCTCTGCGCTTGCATATCTCATAACTAGAGGGGTAGACACTCCTTATTGGATCAATCTTCTTCATTCAGTGTGTTTTCCCTATATTGGATATGAATTAACTTCAATCAAGTTGGCTGAGATTGTTCTGTTAGGCAGTCTCTACCTTGTTCACCTTTCTGCTTTATCGCTGAAATTGCTATGTATATGTTAGGTTACTTTATAACGATAACCTAATTTATTCCCTCTTCTCACCTCAAAACTCGATTAACAGAAGATAAATGTATGAATATGTATTTTATTAACTCTGTAAAGTATGGAAAACAGAATTACATTTAAGTATCTCAAGGAAGCCTCCCTTCCTCCACTGGCAAGAATGTCCAGTCTTTACCCAAAAGATAATAACCTCCTCAACAGACTTCTAGTAAAAACTATTTATAGTATCTCCTACCCACACCCTTCTCTAACAGGAAAAAACCATTCAACTTCTAACTCTCTACCATTTGGTATTACTCATTCCATACCGGCTTGACTCCCTTCTCCTCTTCCACTGCCATTCGGTATTACTCTGTCCATACCGTTCGGTTTGAACTCACTTCTCTCTTCTTCAGCTACCGTCCGGTACTACACTATTCATACCGTTCTCATTCCTTCGTCTTTTATTCCTCCTCTCATAAACTTTTAGCTTCCTAACAGTATCATTGTACATTTGTTTTATGCAATGCAGGCCCAGTCTGCCTCTGTTGCAGAGGTATGGCTTTGGCAGGTCGGATCGTGGAAAGCAGTTGGCCGCTTGCAATCCCACAGCTTGACGGTGACACAGATGGAATTCTCACATGACGACAATTTTCTTTTAACTGTCTCAAGGGATCGCCAGTTCTCGGTTTTTTCAATCACAAGAACAGGTAGACATGTCATCATTTCTTAGACATAGATTTGCACCATTTTGATATCGTCATTTTGTGATTTTCCTTGGTTGACACTTAACATTACTTGAAATGGAATGATAGTCTCAAACCTGAGGAAAACAATGAAACTTAGCTAACCGTTATCTTGAAGCTAAATATTCAAACCACTTACCGGAATTTTTCAGTACTGTAACAGTTGCAAGTTTTTATTTTATTAGCTACTACAACTCAACTGACATGCTAATCACTCGGTTGTGATAACAGGGTCCGGTGAAATTAGTTATAGTCTTCTTGGGAGGCAGGAGGGGCACAAGCGGATTATCTGGTCATGTTCATGGAATCCTCATGGTCATGAATTTGCTACAGGCTCACGGGATAAGACGGTGAAAATCTGGGCCGTTGAAAAGGATTCGTCCATCCGGCAGCTTATGACTTTGCCTCAATTTATGAGTAGTGTGACAGCGTTATCTTGGGTTGGTCTCCATCATCAGAGGGATCAGGGACTTCTAGCTGTTGGAATGGAAAATGGGCAAATAGAATTGTGGAATCTGTCTTATAACAGAGCAGATGATGGTTGCATAGCAGCATCAGCTTTGGTTGCTGCTCTTGTTGTACGTATAGATCCTTTTATATGCCATGCCTCTGCTGTAAACTGCTTAGCGTGGAAGAAAAATCAGGAAGATCACACGAGTCTGCAACTTGCTTCTTGCGGAGCTGATAATTGTGTAAGAGTGTTTGATGTAACGGTTTAGAATTAGAGTATTGTTCCCCCTTCTTTTTTGATATATATGTAGATTGATTTTTGATCCTCATACCTATGGCGAAGAAGATTTATGGCTTGCGTTCTTCTTCTCCAGAAATACCTGTTAGTATACTTCTATTGTCAGGAATGTCATTCGGCTATATGAACAGAGCTCATTAGCTCCATTTTGTAACAATTATTTGGTGTCACGCCATCAAAATAATATTTATCGTTTTTTTTTTATGTAAAGTGATAGACATTATCTTCATTATCCGAAAATTGAGTCCGTAGTCACTAGGCACGTTACATCATTACCATGTGAATTGCGGCGTAATCATACCCTCCAAAATTTTCTCTAATAACGGTCTTCAGTTTATCACTTGTCACTGTCTCGCGAAATTAACGTTGCGACCGTGGTCGGAGGGTGAAAACTTTGTAATGAAATGCTTGAAAGTGATTTAAGTGAAAATTAGGTCGAAAATGTCGTTTTTATGGATAAAATAGTCATAAACGAGCATATGCTTGCCAACCTTCATCGATTAAGAATTGTTGATTGTGTCGGTTGTGGATTCAAGCCTAAATGATATGCTATTATTCGAGTGAGTGTAAAGTTTGGGGAAATATAGGACGATTATCTCGTTCTTTTATCAAAGGAAGAAAAAGCGATACACACTTGAAAAAGGAAAAGATTTGTAGAATTGCAATCTTTATTCTCTCATATAGTATTACACGGATGTTATAAATTAATAAATGTTCTGTTCATCCTTTCCTTTCCCACTTCCAAACAAAGGCAAAAGCTTCGAATATTCCATTGAGAATGTGTAAACGTGGTATGTTCATTATGAGAGATATAATGTTCACCCTTTGAAGTAGATGATTCTGATTTATCAGTGCCTCTTTAAAAACTGTGGAGCTCCGTGAAGGCAAGTGTATCTGGTGATTAAAATTTAAGAGAAGTAAAACCGTAGTTTAGGACTTTATGATGATCATGAGTGGGGCCATTGATAGGCAGCTTTTTACTTGGTGCCTTGACACTCCACCATCCATTAAATCTTGGGAGGCTGAGAATCAAGTTTCAGCAAATGGCTCATTGATTCCCTTTCCCTCGTTATGGAATTCAGTTCTTGGAAGCAAAGGGTAAGGTGATGCTATTAACTAAAACATGACATTAATTTGAGTGGGGTGTACGTACACATACTATTCTTCCATGCTTTTCTTATAGTCATATGGGTTTCCATGATCAACCCAACTTCCCACTTTGGACTAAAGCTCCCTAAAACCTCGGTCGGCAATAATGCACCAATTATGTTCATTGAATTGGTAGCATTCTTCGAAGCAAGAACCAGATTATGGGATGGTGAGGGACACTGACCTACGTTGACATTGGAGAGGTAGGGACCATAAGCCATTTGACAATTGCTAGCTCCGTAATTAATGCGGATGATAATGTTAATAATACATCACAGGTATGCAATAAGTTGTTTGAAGCAGAGTCAGCATCAACCACTAGTCCCAGGACTTTATTTTAACCCATGGATCACAACAGTTTAGTGTAGGCATCTGCATAATCGTGCAAGCGTGTAGTTGGATAATATTGAGATATAACTATATTTTTCGTTGTTTTGACTCATTATTTCTATTTGGTTCGAGCCCGGCAGAAATTGTACTCCCAATTCTTACATACCTAATCTTACATTTAAACCTCGTACAGTTAAACTATTCTTATATAAACCACTAACTAGTGCTCAGTGCATATTTGAATACAAGAAAACATAGAATCTTATGTACCTTGCCACTAAAGTCACATGAAATTCAGCAAAATCAACAATATGTAACGTGCACTCTGTTGTGCAGGGGTTATATTAAATCTTAAAATGCACTATACGTTAAAATTTCACATCAATCAAGCACTTTTGCTTATCAGTGTTATTATTATACAGTTGAGTTTTGATAAGAAATTGGTCGTGTTACTGTAAGTGTCCGTCTCTTTTTTACTAAGTAGCATTTGAAGTCTGATCCTCCAGTTGTCTCACAATATAAGAGACTAGCTTCTATGCAGAATTCTTGCATAAAATGGAAAATAAGCCATGAGTCCAAAACTGGGATAAGTAGAAACATAGTTGTCGCGCGTGATCAATTTTCATTGGACTCACTAAACCTCCGTATAAAGTCATACTATGCAGCTTGAAATGATAGTAAAGGATCAACTTGATCATTGAGCAATCCAAGGAGCAGTAATTTTGTAGTTGTGCATTTAAAAGCTGCCGTGTAGTTGTACATGATAATTGAAGGCGTAGCTTTCATCAAGGAGAATCAAATTCAAACTAAAACTCACGAGGACGTCATTTTTTGGTCTTGCTCAGCAAAA